GGCCAACAGGACAACGTCGTCTGCAAAAAGCAGAGACGAGATCCTGTGGTCCCCAAACCGGACTCCCTCCGGCCCCTGGCTGCGCCTAGAAATTCTGTCCATAAAAATAATGAACAGAACCGGTGACAAAGGGCAGCCCTGCCGGAGTCCAACATGCACTGGAAACAAGTCTGACTTACTGTCGGCGATGCGAACCAAGCTCCTGCTCCGGTCGTACAGGGACCGGACGGCCCTTAGCAAATGGCCCCGGACCTCGTACCCCCGGGGGCGCTGCGAGGGACATGGTCGAATGCCTTCTCCAGATCCACGAAACACATGTGGACTGGTTGGGCAAACTCCCATGAACCCTCCGCCACCCTGTAGAGGGTATAGAGCTGGTCCGGTGTTCCACGGCCAGGACGAAAACCGCATTTATCCTCCTGAATCCGAGGTTCGACTATCGGTCGAATTCTCCATTCTCTTCTTGTAGTTGAAGTAAAAGTTTTTGCGCTGTGACACGGTTTTTGATCCCACCATCTTGGCGATGGCGGACCAATTCCAACCACATACTCAAACTAGCAAACTAACATTTACTATTTAGTTGTTTTAATATCCAGATCAGAGAGAGCTCAACACAAAATGTCCTATTTTTAAATTAGCTTTGTGGCCCACCCAGGGATGCCATGTTTGAAGGCCACAATATGCTAACCCCTGGACATACTGTAGGAACATAGTTTAACCTCTCACACTAAGGTGGCATATTTAAACCTATTAAATCTTCAAACACTGCTTGAGGTTTTTAAGTGGAGATATTCACTCAGTAATTGACTACCACGAACCTGCCAACGGTTTAACATTTTTGAGTGGAGAACATGTATTTTCCTTTAGGAGACATTTCATGACTGGTCATAATGTTGCATCCTTCTAAAGAGATAAGAGGTACTTTAAGAGCTATTTTAATATTTTGCGGGGGACATGTCCCCTGGTCCCCCATGGAGGTTATGCCCCTGATGGTATGGAAATTAATGGCTTCCTGGAACTGTAAGAAAATACATCCAATATTCTAAAATTGTAAGGCATGTATTCAAAAAAGGTCAGAATAAGGTCCAAATTATACATGATGATGGATTCATGATTTGCCAGTAATAAGTTAAAACCTGCAAACACACTGGTATGGCCTTTTAGGACTGCATACAGGAGGTTATGTCATGCCTTCTCAGAACTTCTTCAGAACTGAAAAAATGACTGTGGGACATTAAATGGTGATCTACTACAGCATATCTGCTTATACACTGGTGTTATTCATAAGCATTTACATAAAGAATTCAATTTATATTAGTATATAAATATAATACTATACATAATTATATTTATTTTTCAACTTTCACCACAGCCACCCATACGTCAAAGCCAGCAGCACAAGAAGGAGGTAAGAACCACGCAGCAGGTATTGATGCAATGACTGATTTAATTCTTTAATAAATGTACAGTATGACAGACAGTAGTACACAGTGAGCTTACCTAGGAACAGTGATGGGTCATTTTTAAGTGTGAACCAACTGGAATCATTGATGTAGACCAAAATGTTTTACTTGAATTGAGGAATATTGGACCAGGATATGGCCAGCATAGTGTTACAGCCACCTCACAGCAAGAACGTCATGGGGGGTTCAAACCTACTGGCTGACAGAGACCTTTCTGTATGGCGTTTGCATGTTCTCTTTGTGCCTGTGTCGGTTTCCTCTGAGAGCTCCAGCTTCCTCCCACAGTCCAAAGACATGCGGGTTAGGCTAATTGGCTACTCTAAATTGCCCATAGGTGTAAATGTGAGTGGTGACATGTCCAGGGGGTACCACGAGTCTCTCTCAATATCAACTGTTGGCTCCAGCCCCCTACACAACTATCTACACGATATACAGTGGTGTGAAAAAGTGTTTGCCCCCTTACTGATTTCTTATCTTTTTGCATGTTTGTCACACTGTAATGTTTCAGATCGTCAAACAAAGTTATATATTAGTCAAAGATAACACAAGTAAACACATCATGCAGTTTTTAAATGAAGGTTTTTATTATTAAGGGAAAACAAAATCCAAAACTATATAGCCCTGTGTGAA